ATATATATATATATATAGTGAGAGAGGTTTAGGGAAAATCAACGGATTGTGGCAAAGTTTTGAAGTTGACAACTGTGTCTAAAGTTTGGATGATGATACGGTGGTATACGTACGGCTAGAAGCGAAAGGTTAATTATGTCCAGGCACATGTATGACAGAGCAAAAGTGTGATGTGCTGTGATGGATAACATAAAGAAGGTATGAGCTTGAGAATACCGAGGAATGTGAGAAAAGAGACGAGTAGATAAATTCCCACCAAACGGGTAGATGTATTAGCCACTCACTTCACCTGCAGACGGCTGTGTAGATCACTGAGAACACGCTGAGCGTCTTGGACATAACCCAGCTGAGCACTAACCATATTGCACAGCATCTCTATATGCTCAGCCTGAAAAAGAAAAAGAGCGAGGGAAAGACAAAAAAGATAGAACGGGGGCACATAATTGATGGAACAAGAGTACAACAGTGAGCGGTAGAGAGGTGAATGGTAAGAATTTTCGTTGCAGTGGGAAGCAGGAAGCGCACATCAGCTTCGTTGGAAATCAAAATGAGTAGCCTCGGGTAAACAAGCGCAAAGTGTTCACATTCGCAGAGGAGAAAAAGTTACAAATAAAACGGTTTGCTTCAAAAGATGATGGCATCGGCTAGCAGATTGAGCAGGCAATGTAAATATGTATGGTGCCACGGGACGCCTGTATTCACAGAGTAACCATAAGTTGCTTGCGTTAGCCATCTATCCATCCCGTATCCAGTGTAAGCCTGATATCATGAGGTAGAGTAACATGCGAATAGGTGCCTCGATAGATTCGTAACCCAGCTAACTTTATCAAGGCAAGCGGGCTAGTGGAATGACGACCCAGGACCAAAACAACATCCGGATGGCTGGATGTATCTGGCTACAGGGTAGCCTGCGAGCACCAGTGACAGTGGCCTGACTGCGAAAAACCATAGAAAGTTCTGATCCAATAAGTGACCGAAACAACTCAACCAAAACGGAATCGCACCTAAAATTAATCATGCTCCAGCTCGAATAACCTTCAAGGGTTTTCAAGAGACGTTGCTCGCCGGACAGATTAAGTACGAATTGACGCGGTGCCATGGCATGTATAGACAACCAGAGCAGGCGAAGTTAAGCTTGCGTGACCCAGTTAAATTGAGCAGGTGAAGAATAGGCCATGGGCATACAACTGGGATGGTCATCACCGAATTATAGCTCCAGTTTTAGGTGGTAGGTGATCGATGTAGGGAACTCGCCTAAAACCGCCTTGATCTCAATCTCCCGATAGCCGTTAATATAAGCGTGATGTGTGCTACAGTGTTTACTTCCATCCTTGAGAGTATGGAGGACATAATCAATCCGAACGCAGGTGTCCACGTTTCTGGTGACGCAATCGAACAATTGTCTATGCTTAGACACCTGCTCCCACCCTGGGTTGAACGATAGCCTCAGTGCTAAGCACCGACTGCCGTTTAAAAAGAAATACTGGTTCGGTTTCCACAGTAGCAACGAAACCAAATTCCTGGCAACAGACGAGAGGAAATAACCGGACACTAATTCCACAAGTGCAAGATAAGCATCCTAGATAGAAAATCAGGGTAATAAATTCAGTTGAGGTCAGTTAAGTCAAGTTAATAACAATCAACGCGACAAGAAGTCAGGTGGATCCAGTTGCCATAGGTTGGTAATGATCGAAAAGAGGTAAAACACAGAGAAGATAATGAGAAGGATAATGAAAGAATGGCGCATTAAATTATCCGAGTAGAGAAGTAAATAAACGCTGAAAACCGAATGTAGAACAATGGAATTCATTGACTACGCACTATGTTGCGGATGAGTCCTCGAAAATGATCCCTAGAAGGTCGATAGCTCTATATTTTAGTCACAGATAAGCTTCAAAGCAATATCTGATATTCGTCACAGAAGCCCGAAAATGTCAGTACAGGAAAATGAAACATGGAAAATAATGCGTCAAAACGGATGAGAACATGGGGAAGGTTCGGTGTGCATCCGCTCAATTAATACAGCTCAACATGTACAGAGCGGGGTGCGGTACACGTATGCGCTGACCATTAGTAGAAACGATCACTGAAGTAGGAACGCTCGCAGCCGGAGCAAACGATACAAAATAAAAAACAACGTTGCAAAGGGATATTTTTTCGTTAGTTCACATCAGGCAAATACAGCTACAGGACTGATAAAAGCAACAGTAAACTGGTGCAGACAAAAATGAGGACGCATGGGCGGTTTAAATATATTTAGCACATTCGTTCGATGCTCAAAGCGATTTAATCAGGTGACGTCGTGAAAGGGCTAACAGACAGCGAAACAAGTTGTGTAATCAGACGAGGTAAAAATACCAACAAAATAAAAGTAGATGAGTACATAACAAAATAGCACCCGGTTATGTGTAATCCTCCGGGGGCACGAGTTCTCATCAGACAAACAAACGTCGCATTGCTAGAAACGGTTACTTTCATCTGCGAGTACATAACGGAAAAGAGCTTAAACGGTAACAATCCAGTGCCTAAGCTCAAGGAGCTAATTTTACGATGTACCTTTAATATACAATTCTTGTTTGACGGGATATATCATAGGCAAATCGATGGGGTCTCTCCTTGGACCCCTCCTTGCCGACATCTTTCTCGCTAAGCTTGATCGTAGTCCCATCCAAGCGGTTATTGCATCATATGATTCCTATTGGAGGTATATGGATGACGCTTTCATCAGCTGTGATTCTCGCACTGATGTCAACCGTGTGCTCGACCTGTGCACATCCCTCAATGAAGTTCACTAGTGAAACGGAAAATGAAGGTAAGCTGGCTTTTCTGGACGTTTTGTCGAGGAGACGTGAGGACGAATCACTTGAGCGTAGTGTCTTCCGTAAAGCTACATGGGTTGGCCAGTACACACACTTTTCGAGCTTCGTTCCTCTGAAGTACAAACACAACTTAGTGCGTTGCTTGTATTACCGGGCCACCAAAATTTGTAATCCTGTAACACTCGAGGGTGGGAAGGACCGAATTGTGAAAACGCTTCTTTCGAATGGTTACCCTGAACCTTTCATCAAAAAGCACCCCATGACCCGTGAGCGCGTTAAGCCCGTAGCAACGGTTCCGAAGAAGGATGTGTTTCTCTCTGTCCCTTTTAAGGGAGATATCGCCTTCGATCTCCTGAACAGGAGACTTTCTAACGCCTTAGCAAGGACCTACCCGGTCGCCCACTCGCACGTACTTGTGGAGACCGCACCCTTTATAGCTCAACGTCTTAAAGGCAGACTGACAGTGTCGTCCGAATGGTACATTGTTTACCAATTTACTTGCACCTGTAGTGCCAAGTATCTCGGGCATGCGACCAGACGTCTGTCAGAAAGGATGGTTGAGCACTGTCCAAGGTCACTGCGGAGAGGCATGCTCAGAAGTATCAACAGTTCTATCTTGGCACATTTGTTCCAAAGTGGGCATTAGATTTTAGCAAAAACGCCTTCAAGATTTACTATGCCGTACCGATGAGATACCCGAAAGGGTTAAGGAAATGCCTCTTGCAGACTATTGAAGCCATCGCAAACAGGCTAACACAGCCAGAGCTATGTGAGCATGGGGTGTTTGTGCAACCCGTGACTTTGTCATGGCCCTGATGAGAAGTAGTGCCCTTGGAGTATTACGCATAACCGGATGCTATTTATGTACGTACTTATCTATTTTTTGTTTCGTTAGTATTTTTTGCCCCTTCTGTTTACACAATTCGATTCGCTGTCTGTTAACCCTGTCACGGCGTCAACTGATTAAATCGATGCGAGCATTGAACGGACGTGCTAAATCTGTTCAAACCGTCCTATCCGTCCTCAATTTTGCCTACACCAGTTTGCTGCAGCGTTTATCCGTCCTGTAGCTGTATTTGCCTGATGTGAACTAACGAAAGATATCCCTTTGCAACCCTGTGTCTTATGTTTTGGTGTGCATTATCTACGAAACACAATATGCTTCCAGGGCGTGCTGTGCCATAAATAAGATCATCTGGTGCACGCGGTAGGCCGTAGTTACTGCCGCTACAGATGCCTCGTAGGACGAATGAGACGCTTTCGTCGTAACCACTTTGAGATGAATTACAGTGGTATATTAAGATATTTATACATACGGATTCTCAACAAAGCCGTTGGTTGTAGGGTGGTACTTTCTGTGAATATGGCGTAAGTCTAAAAACGTCGACAGCAACTAAAAGCTATCAACGATCGATAGCGAGGGTGGAGAGCTTCTGTAGTTGGAAGTCAAAAAGTCCAATGAAGTAGAGGAAGATAAACAGCATGTCACCAAAATTGCAATGAAGTGAGAAGAAGCGGCTAAGCCGGACTGAAGCGATGGAGTATGACGCATGCAATAGCAACCACAACACCGGAAAGTAGAAATGTACGATGACCGCCATTTCCGTAAGATTGAAAATTGACGGATGGTGATAACGTTGGGCTAGAGTAAGGAAAATACATGACGCAAGGTAATTCGGGATGACACCGCACGGACATAAGTAAATCATGCATATAAAAGAGGGGGGCTACAGAATATGACATTTGGCTTATCTGTGCTGCATCCGGGGAAGGGAGTGACAAATGAAACGACAAGATATGTCATTGGCACTTATAATAGATAAACTGAACCAAAACAATGTTTCCTGTGGAGAAAAGTCCGGTATTCGAAAGTAGTCGATACACCAGTAACAGGTTACTAGAGGTAAATAAGGCGAGGGAAACAATTCTGATCCAGGCGAAAGAGAAGCGGTAAATTCGACTACTGCAATACTCGTCGCCAAAACAATTAAAACGAAAGATGGGATTAATAGATTAGAGAATAATGAAAGATATTTGGATTAAAATCCGAAGGCGACTAGTTAGATCAGATCGTCATAATATTTTGTTTTTTAACAACTCTCGCAAATGTGAGATTGCACTCGTGAAACGATCCCCTGTGATATCCAGTGGACCAAAAGTTACTCCTATACGACCACTTCTAGCGATGCCACAACCCAATTGGTGGCTTTTGATTACATTCGCCCATTGGTGACACACAGCCGCTCGCATCCACCCACCACAAGGCACGTTACAGGAACCACCGTCAATAGATAAAGAAGCTAAACAGCGCGTGAGGGTGCTTCATACCCGTGACATATACGGCCACTATAACCGCGGACGACAGCGAAAATGCGACAACGAACTTGAGGATCAATCATCCACTACTACCGTTGCAACAACAGCCGTCACTGAAAATGATCCAACTTAGCGGTAAATGTGGAGAATCGAAATGCACCCACGTGGTCAGGATAGGGTTGGTCTGCTCTAACTGTGTCACTGCATTCCACGCTAAGTGCGGTGGTGTAAGTAGAATTAAAGGGCTCAACAACGTGACTGATGCGCCCTGATTTTGCAGGGTATATTGAGCTATTCAAATGGCAAATTGCATAGTTGTGCTCATAAAAGCGCGAAGTTAACTGAAATCATTGAACGGATGGCGAGTCTCAGTGCTTCACCATCAGGATTGAACAAAACTGATCTTGCCCGCAGCAACCCGCTCTGAGCTAATTCCTTAGGTCAATGAGTAAAGTCAGCCTTGCTAATCGCTTCATGACATCTATGCTATTTACTCTGGCACATCCTAACTCCTTAATCGGGCAAGTCACATTCGATGTGACTGCTATTTCCCCATTCATGTAAGCTACCCCTGATGGTTCCTTTATGATACCGAGAGCTCAGAACCGGAAGCAAACAAGTGCAGAGAAAGAAGGGTAATGTACGCATCGGTCACTTCGAGAAACTTACCAGGAGCAACACATGCGGGTCCATCTTCTGTAATGATCACAAGCAGTGCGACGCGGCTTTCACCATCAACTTCAGTGACGCCTCCTAAACAGCCCAAATTACCAGTAACAACTCTCAAACAGATATTCGCTAGAAAGAACCACAGTACATTAACTCTAGTGTGCACCAAGATTACCGAGTTGAAATCTGACACAATAAAGAACAAGTTGCCAGACGATCGCAACCAGAGGAATTCCATCTGCAGTGCGATTGATATTCGGGTGAAGCTCACTTTGGTTAGACACGCAGCGCGTCACCCGACTTCAATGCACTATGGCGAACCTCGAATACTTTGAGTAAATCTGAACTCAGCATAAGTGATAGAGGCTGTCCTGACCTCAGCAGTTCGCCCTCGCAATTCACCGGGCGGGGTGCCTATAGCATCCGATCATCCTTGGAAAGAGTGCATAAAGGAAGCGGAGAACAAAGACGGCCCTCCTAAAAGCGATAGCAAAAGAGTATTTGTTCATGGTATTCCAGATCACGAAGTGCAAACACATGACCGAGAGTAGTGTTGTTAGATCCGCGACAATGTTATGGCAAAATCGATGCTAAAAATTCCTGTATCATCTAACTAAAAGGGCTGCAGTCCAAGATTAATGATAGTGGTGCTGCCTTCCGAAGGAGTGACAGCAGTTCAATTTGGTAACTGGTTTAAATTTCGCGCCGGGTTGAAAACAGAGATCCGGTTAAAGGCAGCAGCGCATGGCCACAAGTAATAAGCAATTCAATGAAAATTGCTACCACAGTAAATCCTTTGTCCCAATAGTCCTGCGGAGAGACAACACAACAGCATCCACGGCACACAAGAGGACAGAGCGAAGCATGAGCTAACATCCCGATCTGGAACACTCTGTGGAGCTATGTAACCCGACTGAAATTTCTAAACTCACGACCAACCAAAACAATAGTAGAGACCGACCAACAAAAGTTCGTCTTAGAAAGCGAAAAGGAATTTGACGCCCAACAACGCACTGCTAACATCCAAGACTCTTATATGTATACCCTACCGCCCAAGACCGTCCTAGTAACTTGGTCGCACTTAGAGAACGCCACGCCTCACAACCGCGGGACCTCATCATGATTACAGACTAGGTTAAACCATGAGATAACCGATTATGATATAAATTTACCCAGTTTGCCGCTACTTCAAAACGAGAGAAATGGGATGAATGGTGGTGTAATTCACTAATACAATGTAAACCTATGTGAAGTCATTGATCACCCAGAAATCCGCGCCCCTAATTCGCATTGGTGCCAGCTATGTATGCGGAACAAGGACACGTGTCTAATAGTCGCAATTCACCGCTTGTCAAACTCTACATCAGAAATGGACACCAAAGTGAATCGCGTTTTCAAGTTGCATGGAACAAAGTATACAGCCACACTCTCATCGTTGGAGATATTAATGCACACAACACAGAAACGTCAGCAACCGATGGTGCACAGTTTAAAGCCTGTTTGCAAGAGCTAATTTCCAACTATCCTTTGTACAACCAAGTAACCTATCCCATCAGATTGCGCACTGTCAGCAGGCCCTCGAAACCAGATCTAGTGCTCACCAACAAAAATTTGCGATCTACGGAATAAATGAAAATGGCATCAGCAATACGCCGGTTCGGAGTATCGACGCTTCACTGCCGTGCAACCACCACCGGTCGCACGCGGGCTAAGGATATTGCGAAGGTCGCACTGCCCCTACGCAGGGTCGAACCCTTGCCGTCAGATTACAATACAAGCTCGTTACCTTTAGGCGACATGCCGGCGATCGACGGAGTAGTTACAAGCAAACCATAGGGTCGCAGGGATCATGTTACTCTACCATTTGACAATATATGTCACGTGGAATATCCTAAAGAGGACGGGGAAGTATATATTGTCACGCATCACAACGTGTTATGCACGCTTGTTAAGGACACATCTAGGGGCTTCTTAACAGAATACGCCGGGAAAACGTTCATAAAGATGTTTAGCGCACTAGTAGCGTATGCATCGGAACAGAAATCCTCCCATCGTCAAATGCAAAGCAAATCATTTCTAAGGAGCAGAACACGTAAATATGTGTTCCTGAGTGATTTGGCATGGTTAATTCACAAGGAATGCCCGAATGCCGACATCTGGAGTCAACACGTGGCACATCGTAACTCCTGTGTGAAATCAATCCGCGAGGACAAGGTGACGCGCCAGCAGGAGTTAAGGAAGCGTTTCTGCAGGAACCGCAAAGTCCTATGCAGGCAGGTTAATGGCCTTATTAAACTAAAGCGTAGAATGCCAGTAAAGGTTGCGAGTGATGGGTGTACACGGTCATCAATGGAAGCAACCGATCTCTCCTGGTTCCATTACCCACATACATTCCAGAGGGTAACCAGTCCCCCCCCCCGTTTCAGTTACTCCACCGCCAGTTTTATCCAACATCACCTTCACTGCAGATGTTGTGTTGAAAAAAGTTGTTACCCCTGCGTACCCACAATTTGCCTAGAGTCGATAACATTCGACCGAAGGCCCCGCTGGCAGTAGCCAATGAGCTAGCAGAACCTTTGGCCGTTTGCTATCAGTGCTGTTTAGGGGAGAATGAAATCCCACTAATATGGAAGTGGCGAGTCATCACTCTAATTCGTAAGGGAGGTAGTCGAACTGACCCAAAAAACTACCGTCAAGAAACGATACATCCTGTACCTTCTAAATGTATGCAAGCAATCATCACAGATGCAGTACCTGGAAAATCACAGCATAATATCCTCAGGAGCAACATTGCTTTCGACAAAAGCATTACCGTGTTACCAACTCATTGATGATTGCAAGCAATAGTTAAAATGAAACAGCTGACGGCGGAGCAGGAGTCGATCTCATTTACCTGTACCTCCCAAAAGCGGTTGATCGCTTAGAACACGGAATTCTCCGAGCTAGGCAATTTTGTTGCAGACGTTCCATTGACAACCTAGGCAACATCCTCATTGCGGCTATTAGAATCTGATTCGCAGAGCTTCGTAATACACTGCCAGATCCAAGTGAATGTTGATCCTCTTTTGCTTTGAATGTCAGTCTTCGATTGGCTCACGTAGGTCGGTCAAGTGGTCGCGTCTTCACCCTATCGATCTGGTACTTATTGTTGTCCGCACCTACAGAGCTTCGTAGACACCCTCTAGTTCCAGGTGCTTGTTGATTGAGTTCTGGCCCGAATGCTAGGCCTCGATGAACTCACGCGCTCTGCGGTTCTTCGCTCTTCCAAGTATCTTGACGTTTCCCAGATCGAATCGATGGCCTTCGGCATCCATTTGTACTGACATTAGTGACTTTTCATCATGGCAGCGGATGGCCAGACTGTCAATGCAACCTTGTACCAAGTTTCCTCCCTGTCTGGCCCACGTAGTACTTGCCGCAATTTTTGCAGCAAATTTTGTATATCACACCTGAAGTTTCTTCTTTACTCAGCTAGTCCTTTAGCCTTCAGTCGGCCGGTGGCCGAAACGATTACACACATGCCTTGTAACCCGGGGGTCACCGGTCCGAATCTGCGTAATTGCGGACGACCTAGCTGTGTGCTCAAACCAAATGCGACCGGTAATAGTCGGGTGGCGGCAAAGCGTCGACACTGTGCACTGTGGGCGCTTTTGCCTTTATAGTGACCTTAAAGAAACGATCTGACAGTGGGCTACGAGTATCTGAGAATCAGGCCTTGAAAGCCGCATTGATCATGCAGCCAAGCTTGTCAACGGAACAACTAAAACTAAAACGTTCAGTTCGGGGAACAACAAAACACTCATCCACATCTCGAGCTACAGGTTATCACAAGAAATCCAAACAACTGGGTGAATCAGAAAAGCGCGACATTTATTGATAACCGCAACGGTTAACTCTGCACAGAAGAATACCTCACTCTCCAAAAAGTTGGACATTGCAGAGCGACTGGCTTCATATGATTCATGAAACTTGTGTTCCGCTTCCAAGTACTCCGTGTTCGAAGTGTTGGATTTACCTGAAAATGAAAATGAACGGAGCATCTGTCACCAACAATATCGAGGCCAAGATAATCAACACTCGTAATAGCACTAAGAGCAGTTAACAGATGTTGCGAGTTTTGTATTAACCCGGATCAACTCAGGTCGAAGTTATTAAGGCTAATTTGAGGCCGTGTTAGCGAACCGTTCTGTGAGCGCCAGATAACAACGCAAATGGATGTATCTCAAAAAGCTGTACTTTTGCTACATCGATTTCTATCGTCAGCCAAGCGTGTACGCAAAATATAATTGTCAGTACAACGAGCAATAAACCCAAGCTGGTGGCATTAGTAGTACGCTCGAATCACTTCAAGGCGCTTGGACCTGAGGGCACTTACCCGACCATCGGCAACAGATTTGTCACCACTCTCGATCACACAGTGAAAAGGATGGGCGTCGGTTAAGAATATCCACTTATTTCCTACCATCTGCATTCTGTGGGAGGATGCTCTCAGAAAGAGGAAGAGTACTCGGATCAAGCTTATTTGACTTTGATCTACACGTGTGATCGAACTGCGCAAACGCTGTTATCCACCCGTATTTATTTGAGGAGAATGTCGTCAGCGTTTCTGCTACTGAAAACTCCGGCATGGCAACCGCGTGAGGCTATCAAGTGGGTACCGCCAAAGACACTAAGAGTGTACAGTAGTCGTTCCGTGAACCCCTACCAGCTGGCCGATAGGATAATACGGTCATGTAAACATGTTTCAGGGACACTACATGCAGCAATCCCAGTGGAGTGCTGCACGATCGCACGCAATGCCAGTTCACATCGGACAAAGAATATGGAGGTTGATGTTTCTGTTCCGTTCAGTCGAAAAGTTACTATAAGAAACGCCGAGGCGCGGTGTGTGCTACTTACATGACACTTTCAGGATAACATACTTGGGAACGATTAGTAGAGTTAGTTAGGCCGGATGTAGACGGGTTTACTGTCAGACATGTTTCCAGATTTGAGATAAGGCTCGGTTACCCTACTGGTATGGATCCCATGGTCGTAGGTGGTTCCTAACAGCTGTTCTGAGAGTGTATGATTATTGCTAGGTTGAAAACAGAAAGAGAGATGCGAGCATCTGGAACTGACCTATGTAGTAGATGGTACTCTGCAGCTACCCATCACGAAAGATGGGTTTTGCTCCAGTGTTCCTGACTCCATCTTATTACTAATATTTCGCATCCAAATGATTGTGCAGAGCCAGTCCAGCTAAGAGTGGGATTTCAGGGTCCCGTGGAGTTTTATCTGAGGACTTAAACGTATTGATGTGGAGGTTACATAACACTACTGTGAATGCTATAATCACAGCAGATTGCACGTCTACTCTCTCCTGTGAAAACAACATTTGCACCGAGTATCCCTGACCGATCGCTTCTATCTGCCTGGTTATGGAATCATTCAGAATGCGCTTCCTGATGTAGTCTAGTAATGGATCATCGTTAAGCGCAATCGATTTTCCCACGTTGTTTCAATCCATTCTCGGTTACCTAGGTAAGTAACGCCTATATTCCGATTCGCGAAACGCTCGCTTCATCGTGATCAAGTATTACAGGCGTTCCACTGCATGGATCACGTCTCGATTAGAGATATGCACACACACTTTCAGATGAAATTGTGGAGCTTGGGTTGGAACGATTTGTAGAATATTTGCGCGGATATTTTGTTATTAGGTTCAAGACCTCCAACCTGACCTGGCGAAGGTATAGGCAATAGCTGGTATATGCGGAGACACGTTCGTATGATGGGGTGTTGAAAATGTGCCCTGGATCACACTGTGATAAAGGTTGCGCATGATAGCTGAATTCGGAGCATCTCTAAGATTTCGAGTTCCGGCATGAGTAAAACAGAATTACATCCTTCGTTTGTGGAACTGAAATCCTTCACTTCGTTGTTTCGACTCCATGTAGCTACTAATCCCAGTTTTTATTTAGCACTGGATCTAGGGATCGCTGTATCGTTCGTTTGTTGTAATCGAATGCTGAGCCAATCATGTACACCACATTGGCATAGAATTCATTGGTCCAATATGTTGGATCTCAGGTCAGGTGCAGCGTTGGTTCTCAGTAAGTTTAAGCAGCAAAACGTTATCTGCATCCGTTGCGAGTGGGATCACTTCAACCCACTTACAGGTCAGTTGATTGTGTGCTTCTGCGTCTTTGGGCATATCACCACCAATCGGTTAATTAAGCAATTCGCACATGTATGTTACTGTCGTCGGGAAGAGAAATTGCTTATATACAAGTGGGGTAAATGAATTTATATTAGATGTAAAAATCGGTTCTATTCTGCCAGAAGTCAGAGAAGCATTTGACACAACTATCTCAGGTGGTAACCCGGAATCGCCCCTGAAAGGACAAAATGACATGAAAGGTTCGTGTGTGTGTAAGCCGGGATACATTGCGTTCGCAAGAGTGTTCACCATTATCATTGGATGAGATTTGGTTCCTGTACGTCATATTAGTTTTCCACCAACTGAAACATCGGAACAGTTTGTCTGAAACAAATCGGTCGAAAATCAAAAAATTTCAAGACACCCACTCTGCGGATTAGATTTCGACAACGTATCGCGCATGAATAAAACGTCGTACAACCGAACTGCGTTGACAACGTGCGTTAAAAATAGGACGTCGTTGCACATGTGTACCCGATAGTATATTGGTGGAGTAGGACATATGTACACCTAGCTCCTTACTCACAGTATTCACTGTTCATCATCATCATCGTAGTAATAATAATAATAATAATAATAATAATCAAGGTTAACAGCAGCATGTCAGCTATATGAAGTGATGCCTGGCTTCTATACCGTCACAATTACCTAAGGAATGAAAAGCTATATGCAAGAGAGAAAGAAGAAATTGGCGTGAAACCTAGACGCCTTAAGCAGACATTTTGGACAAGGCGCGCACACGCGTCAAAATCTCATGAGCACATAGCCTGGCGTGAAAACGTTTATGTGGTTTCCACTACCTCGCATAGTAATTAGCCCAATCCAACAGATAACACAACAATAGAAAGAATATAAACAGGAAGTCACACTAGTAAACGACGCGCCACTGGTGCCGACTGTGAGCCATGTCTTGTAACGTCTCGAGAAAGGCACGGAGCGGGTCGCATGCGCTCAAGACTGGAAGGTCAGAAGGATCAACAACATCAAGTTTTGCAGTCAGGGATTTCATTCAACCCTGACAAGTCAATCTCTGCCCACCTCGAGCATTGCACCATCCAATTTCCAGCAAACAAAACAAGGCACTCCACGGTAACCGGTGACCGCGTATACATCAAGGTAACCAAGTTGAACAATGGGAATGATCAGAAATGCTTGGAAAAAGGTTGGACAAGTCGGAGAAAGCTCGGTTAGCCACACATACGAGAGCTGTTGAAGATGACACGTGAAACGTGCAAAACTGGGCGAATTAGTTCAATAAGTTCAGGTTCAGCTGATGCCATAGAGTCCAAAGTGAAAAAGAATGACCCAAAGTTCATAGGTGTGCTCATATCGATGAGAGAAGGATGAAAGGAACGAGCAAAAGCAGTTAGAATGGAAGCTTATGATAACATTACACGGAATTTCTTTAATCAGTCCTGCAATGAGATCAAATGATCCTGAAAATAGTATTTCCTGGGTGCATTGCAGGAAACACAAGTAAGTCAAGTCAAGTAAAACAATGCGCTTTATGGAGAGCGAAAATTCAGCTAGGGGGTTAATATTCACTGAACAGTTACAGAATCGAACTATGAAAAAATGGGGTCCTTTGTCTTTTGTAATTCTAAATAACGATAACAGAAAACGAAGGTTGTGGGATCACACTATCATTTCGTGCATTCTCGTCGGCCACGTACATACAAGTAACAAAGGAACGGAAATAAGATCACATCAAGTCGATTGTTAGCCAGCTGTTTTTCGCGATTAGTGCGTTAATCGCTTCCACGGCAGACTAAATATCACAGTCAGCTGTTTTTGAAGCGATTGCGCAAGAGCGAAACTCATCCAACCATGGCTCATTTTGAAAATCCGACACTAACCCACATAGAAACCTGCTTACATAAGATTGATCAGCTTAACGAAACAGCTTAATATTACCCTACGTAATGTGATTCCTTACCTGTTGTGTGCTGGATAAAATTTGCTAACTTCTGCCACGATGTAACAAGAAAAACGATATGTTCCGCATCAACCAAGTTTCGATGGACCATTTCCACTGAGGCACAAATAGGCGATTGTCCAAAGTTCGTTCACAATATGTCATCGCTTTCACTCAACCGATTGTAAACCAAAGCCTTATCGCTATGTCTCAGCTTCCAAACGCCATCCAGTCAGATACATAGAACTTCCATTGACGAAACTTTGAGAACTTATACAGCCAAGTTGCTTCCTTGACCACAACATCACCCGAAAATGACTCTTGGTTCGAAAACAATCTAGTAAAAATATTGCATATTTTTGCGACGCTTCAATACAGCATCGAACGTGTTTCACTTTAGATCATTACAAAGCGCTGCGTGAACTGTGACGAACGAAAGAAGTGGTTAGTTTAAAATTCGATAGGGGTTCCAGAGTGGTTGTTATTGATGACAGGTTATCTACTCAAGATCGAGACAGCACTGTAGGATATTACAAAATTCAAGCCAGATACTATTTTAGTTACAGTCCGGTTGGTCGAGAAGCAATTGTGTCGGGAATTACACATCTTACTGATACATGGACTAGTCTCAAAGGATGAATATCAAAACGCTAAAACCAGTGGGTACCCACACTCCGCAAATGTATGGTTTACCAAATATGCATCAGGTAGCTATGCGGCCAATAATCTAGACGATGAATTCGTCGTATCATGACATTATAGAGTGGCTGAACTCATGCTTGAGCCAGTAAGAGGAGTTCCTATAAAACATGCTCTATCAAACACCATCGGAATACTTACCTATTTGGAAGGCATGAACTTGGACCACAAGCGCATGTGTTTCCTTGACGTGCAGTAG